ATCAACTTTCTATTATTGTTAGATAGATAAAAGAGCCAAATTAGCAAGAAAGTAACGAAAAGCTAATGTTATATGATAGTAACAGTTAAATTTAAAGTAATTTATCTAATTTAATTAATCTATAAAATAAGTTATCCCTATATTTAATTTGAGATTAAATTTGACCCTTTCATTACTTTGAAGTGAATTTGGGAGCTAGGCTGCAAAAATGTTCATGCGCATCTCTCAGAAAGGCATGAAAGATATACATCATCAATTGGCGACGATGAGACGAGAAGAAAATTAGTAAAGGAATAGAGGTTGATAAAATTTTGATTAAAACACACTCTTTCTTGCCTTATTCGGGAACGTAGCATCCACATGGTATCATGTACTCGATCGCTGATTTGATTTCTATTGAATGATGAACCTTGCGTAGGCTACTTGATTTCTATTGCTGAGTGCTCAATTACTTTCTGGTTTCTAATCCATGGATGAGGAATATGATGATTCATGTTCTAACTTTAGACACGTTACCAGCTTTTTGGACAGAAGCAGATGCCTACCTCTCCTAGATTAGTGCTCATTTGTATTATATTGCAACCGTAATTATAATTTTTTTTTATTTTTTTTATTTTAAAATATATAAAATATTAATTAAACATAATAAAAATATATAAAAATTAATCAAAGGACTTGTTTAGTATAGCGATTAAAATTCAGCGGATAACGGATAGTGGATAATGGATAGTGCATAGTGGATAGTGAATAGTGAATAATGGATAGCAGATAACGGATAATAGATAGCAAATAGTTAATGGTGGATAGCGGTAATAGGTAGCTAGTGGTGGTTAACGGATAGTGTATAGTGGATAACGGATAACGGATAGTCAATGGTGGATAGCGAATAGTAGGTAGCAGTTAGCGGTTAGCGGTTAACAGTTAACAGATAGCGGATAACGGATAACTATAGTAGGTAGCGAGTGACGGTTAACGAATAGTAGATGACAGATAGTGAAAAGTGGATAATAGATAACAGATTCAATTGATATAATTATTTGGTTATACAATAATTAGTGGTTATTGTTTTAAATTAATTGACTAATAAGAACATATTTAAAAACAATTATATGTATTTTTTTATATTTTTATTATTAAAACTATTAATTTTGTAAAAATAATAAATAAATAAATAAATTATAATAGTATAATTATACACTAATTTTTATTTTTAATAAAAAA